TGTAATTACATGCAGGTATTTTTTAAAATATAAGTACAATGTAAAAACATGTATGTACACAATAAGTGCATTTTATCAAATGATTAATTTAAATTTCAAGTACAGTTAAGGCCACCTAATATAAAGTGGGACCAAAATTCAAACATCTGTTGAGGTGAATTTGATTGTTTTATCCCATTTAAATATATTTCTGATTAAACAGGAAACAACAGAATGTTTACAACTAACAGCCTGTGAGCCAAAGCTGCTCTTAGAGAGATGCAGCTGGCACACTTCAGTCATTCCTCATTCAACTGTTTTTTAAAGATGAGATTTCTCAGTGAATTACTGCATTAAGCATATCTGGCATCAGTTATTGTTATATCAATTCTATCAAGATAATGATCTAGTTTGGGTGAATGTAAGATTTGGCCATAGCTCTATGTGAAGGAAAATCGCTTACCCAGAGTGCCTTTCAGTGCTGTTATTTGGGACATCTACAGCGCTCTCATTCAATTCCAACTGAATGAGATCCATCAATACTTCAGACCAGAGCCAAAAACACCATTGGAGAAAAATGAGAGAGTGTGAGGGAAGATGGAAAGAGGCTGAGAAAGAGAGAGTGAGTTTGTGTGAGCGAACGAAAGGGAGAGAGAATGATGACATGAAAAAGAGTCACTGAATTTATGAGGGACAATGTGGGCGGTGAGAGCAAGAGAGAAAAGTAACTAAAAGGAAAGAGAGAGAGCGTAAAGGTAACACAGAACACCAACAGTACAGTGAGACATTTAGATATGCCTCTAGTGCAAACTCTTGGATAAAAACGACTAATAATATGAGCTAAAATCTAGTGAGACTTCATCTTAAAAACGTCTCCATTTCCCTTCACTCCTGTCACCTGGCCGGGGCGCGGTTTTTGCTTACTGTCTGTGCTAGATTGCTATCAGATGATCCCAACGGGCTGCTCTACGCTAAGGCGTCGTCATAGAGACAACATGCAGAGAAAGCTTTGGAACAATATAATCATCAAACTTGATACAGTGCCAGTGGGTGGAGCCACAACTGTCAAACAGGAACATGAAGGAGGGAGGAATGGAGGAGTAGAGGCTGAAGCAGTGCACAGGAAGAAGAGAGCAGTCCTGTCAGTCATAAGGGCTTTGTGTTGTTGTCTTTCAACGGAGGCACAATCATTCAGTTTTTCTGCTTTTTGTTCATCTCTTGACATCAGTCTGCATGAGATTTCCGCAAAGCTGTAAGTGCTGTTCAACCAAAGTCGATCCTTGGACGGTACTCGAGAACCATGGGATAAGCCTGGGGTAAAAGCGAAAGTAAAGAATGACTTTAACTTTGAATATTCTGATTTAAGCAGGGTATACTTTTCATTATATCGTCATCTTACTTTATTATGGTGTAAAAGGAAAGGACACAAACCTAGGAGCATCGATGTGTCCTCTGATTTTGTGTCAACCTCTAGTGTGTGTGTGTAACTGGAGAAATATGACTCATAGATCTGTCAGTAGCTGTGAGCAGTTTTTTTTGCTCCTGCCCCCCACAAACACCACCAACTCAGCGACAGCTGTTCACACTTCTTCTCATGAGCGCACACACTCACACACAGATTCAAACACACTCACGTATTCAGGGTCAAACTAACTTCAATCATTTATCTGTCAAAGTTCTAGTCCAGAGGTTTTCAAACTTTTTGTTGCCAATGATACTTAATTATGATGATTCCCTTGGGAGGGACCCCCTTCCTAAAATAAAATTGTCATTTATAAAAACCTATTCATACTGTGTGAAAATAAAAAATATTAAGAGTGATATTATAAAAACAACATGTTTTCAAAATTAAATAATAAGCTTTGATATTGTCATTGACTAAAGGAAATTGTTAAAGATTCAATGTAACAGAAGTAGCAGATCTTTTCTTCCATATTGTGATGTACATCCAAGTGAAACGGATTATTGACAAAAAATTGAAAGGCAGTGTTGTGCATCGGTTGTTGATTGAATGGAGGCAAATCTGAATGCAAGCTTACAGTCGACTGTAAGAAAGTGGGCTAAATGATTGGACACATCTGCATATTTCACCAGAGAGAATTCTGTTTTATGGAAAGATCAAGTTTTGATTAAAAATTACAAGTTCAGAAAAAGTTACAAATATAACATTCAAGAATGAATCCTTTAAAATAAGATTAATAACATGTATTTAGAAAATAGATTTTCCATTTTATACTGGCTTTTAAATATAATCTGGGAAAACAAACATTTTTAGTAAGTTTTTTTGAACACAAAACTATATGCAGCTTTGTTTTTTAAATTAAATTTTGATATATGACCAGTATTAAGACAGCAGAATAAATTAGTAATATCAGTCAAGATGCAATATTCTGAATGTGACTGTAAATGTTAACAAAATAAATACATTTTGTAAAATTCTCTCAATTTTTTTGCAGACCTCCAATCACCCCCTTTGCAGGTCTAAAGTAATGTTGCAAACCGTCTCTGGTTACTTATGTAACCATGGTTCCCTGAGTAGGGAACGAGACACTGCGTCCTCTAGGGGTCGCTATGGGGAACGCCTCGTCGTGACCCGTGTCTGAAGCATACATTGAAAAAACACCAACTTGTTGGCCGGTGACAGCCATGACGTCACTACAGGTGCGACTATAGTGTAAATAGACGCCGGGAGCACACATCATTCACTTCTTCATCTGAAGCTTGCGTCCGCAGCATGGCAAGAAACCTTGGTGTTTTTTCAATGTATGCTTCAGACACGGGTCACGACGAGGCGTTCCCCATAGCGACCCCTAGAGGACGCAGTTCGAAGTTCCCATGAAAGGGAAACACACACAAACACATAAAAACACACATTTGTTTCTCAATAATGGTGGTAACTTTCTAATAACTTATGTCGTTTTTATACTGAGATTTGATCATGATATCATGATATAATGATATTTCTCACCCCCAAACCCTTTTATCATTGAGTCAATAATAAGGAATAAGGATGTTTAAAAAGCCATTTTTCTCCTAGGGATGGTGGGATGGTTCATACAGTGTAGGTGATTTTACGTTTTACTATCCTTGTAGGGACATTCATTCCCAACAATATTGGCAAAATTTAACCCAGACATACACACTTACGCTGTCACCCTGAAGTCTCCAGCGAGTGCGGTAGATGAATTCCAGGGTGTGGTCTTTGCCCATGATCTCTCCGTTACACAAAACATCGAGCTGTAAGAAACAGGTACAGATCGACACAGCAGCCAAATTATATTTCATGAAGTCAAATAATAGGCACATGAAGAGTATGGCATGTTGTGTGTTACGTACACATATAGTGAAACGTCTCAGAAAGAACAACCTTAGAAAAAATTTTCATAGACTGTCAAGTTTCACAGCTGATGGGTAAAAGCTCATTTATTAATATCTGTATTCAACTGTGAAAGGAACCTATTAAAGGGGTCATATTAGTGCTGGGTGGTATACCGGTTCATACCGAATACCGGTGTTTATTTTTGTTATGATATGAATTTTTAAAATACCGCAATACCATAACGCCGCCCAAATGTTCACGCAACGAAAGAAGGCGTAACTTTTATTCTCGCTGTAGTATTGTTGCCGCCGCCGTCATGTTGTAAAGGCGCTGTGTGCTTCGTTGTGAAAGCGAAACTACTTTGTTTGGCCTTCCAAAAGAGGATGATATCGCTTCGTCATGCCTGGAGCTGATCCGTGCTGGTCGCTGAGGAAATACTTCAGCTTCGCGCTGTCGATCGCCGGATCGGCTTTCACCGTGGACGAAGCGGAGTCCAGCCCGGGGTCATCACATGTGGTTGTAAGGGGCGTAACATTTCCGTCACACGCTTGAGGTATTCGGCCAATCATAACGCACTGGATAGCTGGCCAATCACAGCACACCTCGCTTTTCAGACCGATGAGCTTTGTAAAAATCGACGCGTTTCAGAAAGTCAGGGCATAGAGGAGAAACAATAATGTACAGTATGCGGAAAATAATGTGTTTTTTTAACCTTAAACCGCATAAACACATTTCATTACACTAAATAATGTTCTTTTTAGCAACATCATATGACCCCTTTAACTCTCAATACACACACAGAAGCATTTGCCTGTGTTGACAGCCCTTTGAGAGTGTAATAAAACAGTATTTTACCTCATAAGAGCTTGGCAGCTTCAATTTTACACAGAGGAACTTCTTAATGGTTCCCACCGTAACACGGGTGGAGCAACGGATGAATTTCTTCATTAAACCCTGTTGCAGAGAGACAAGGAGTGCAAATTATAAACGTGCGCACACACACACACACACACACACACACACAAACGCACATCATTTGAATACATATACATACAACTATACTGTCTATATGTACCTTAACTATGCTTTCTCCTGATTGGCCATTGTTTCGTAGACAGTCCAGACAAATAGCGATCTGAGGATCACTCCTGTGGTAGTCTCCAGCTTTCCCATCATCGTCCTCTTCATCACTCAGGCGAGATTTCTTAGCCCTAGGGCCATCTAGAAGATAGACAAAGGAAATCTGGTCTTTAACCTAAAAGTAATTTGGTACATACTGTATGTGTACTGTATGCGTGAGAGGTTATGGGTTTGGTGTAGGGAATAGCTAAGCATTACCTTCTCCATTTGATTTGATCTTATTTTTTCTCCAGAACTCACTTTCCTGTTGTTCCTCCTCTAGTAAATAAACACAATCATTTAAAGAAAGTACATTAAGAAGCAGTTTACAGATATAGAAACCCTTACTAACCAAAGCACAAACACATAAACTACAGAGTGCATCTCAGATGTGCATTATAGAGAATAAAGTGTCTATGTATGTGTATATACACACTCACTCTCTCTTAGTCCAGGCACCAGCTTGAAGATGATCTCCTCCAGGGTCTTATCTAGCCTGCAAAAAGAAAGGCCAAGATACCATATAAAACACAGGAGGACTCGTGCGTGTACTTAATCAGTGCATTTGAGAAATGAGTGTGGGTGAGTTTGGGTACCTCAGCATCTCTAAAGGGTTGGTTTCATGGACTTGTATCCCACATTCCGGACACTCATTACTCTCCTCAAAGTGCTGAACGATACAACTCTTACAAACTAGAGGAGAGTGGAAAAAAAGAGAATGAAGAATAGAAAAGAAACAAGAGAATGAGTGGATCAGGTCAAAATACTCTGAAACTATCAGACTGTTTTCAATCACTTTTTGATGGCTCATACATGACACAGGTCATTGAAGTTAAAATAATTAAAAACAATATATTAAGCAACTACATAACTATCAGATGGCTTTTTTTAATCAGAGCAAAAACAATGAGTGTACCAATAAAAATGACAGCATTTGACAGATAAATGCCACCAATACACAATTTATACTCATAAAGCCACCAATAAAACTAGAAAATACCATAAATTACAGTGACCAACAACAGCATTAGATAAGCAAGAATTATTATATTTTTTTATATATTGTTTGTCATTTTTTTTTTTTTGTTGTTATTTTAGAACTATTTATACACAATTAAAGTATTACTTCTTTAATTTCTTTTTTTATTATCTTATATTATTTTCATTTTTTCTTATAGGCTAAATTTGAATTTACATTTTGACTTCAACTTATTTTATTTCGAGTAATTGCCCAGGCATTTTTTAAAATGGGAAATTTATATTTTGAATGTTTATGTGCCAAAAGCTGAACGAAACAGCGCGACTCATTTGAATCGCGCCACACGGACCGTTTATCCGCTCGGATCAAAAGCAGCGCGAGCTCACTATGGGCAAAGAGTATGGGCAAGTTGCATATCTCCGCCATTTTGGATTTCCGGTCTAGCTAGTGTGTGCATAGATACTTCCGATTGTGCAAAACGCCAGTGCAGAGAACCGGAGAAATCCAAATATTACCTTCTATATATGTTTACAGGATTTATAATATCACTTCAAATGCAAATAAGATCTACACTGCTATTATTACTATACTATAAATGTTAACAGAGCAAGTGCATTTGAAATTTACGTATGTTTGGGTCCGGTGAATGAATGAAATACATACTGTTCACAAAATGAAAGTTGAACAAATGGGAAATTTATATTTTGTTTAAGTTTTTTTAAATTAACCAAAACAATTTTTAGTTTACAATTACAACACTGGTTTTGTAGTTTCAGTTAGTCACTCCCTTACACTACTGGATTTTTTTAAAGGTTAATAAGTCACTTTTAGTGATCCTCTGCTCTGAGACAAACACCCACTGCATACCCTCACCACTGTATCTCCCAAACATTAGGAGACTTTCAGGTGGGTTACACAAAGTATTTGGATGTTAAGCATGTTAAGTGTGAAATAAACAGATTTTGGAGAAAGTAAAGATATGAGGCAGGTCAGATAAGCAGGTATGGATAGGCCATTTTTGCCATTTACATAATAATGACATAACAGCCATTTTTTAATAAAACAAAGTCTAACAAAGTTAATAACAAAGTCTTTAATAAACTTATCACATAAAACAAAACAATTCTAGAAAGAGGCCAGTTTATTCTGACACATTTCTAATAATAAAGATTTCTAAAATATTCTGTTTGTTTTTATTGTCAGAAAGAATAAAGAAATTGTGCAGAGGACACAAAGAGAATGTGTGAGACATGGATGACTTACAAGTGTGCAGGCATTCTGTGACAGCGGTGGGCTTTATCAGGTACCCACGGCAAATTGAGCAGGTGATGTATCGGTTGAAATCTCGGACCAGGTGCTTTCGGTGGGTCGCCATCTCGACTCAAAGGTCACAGAGGTCAGGAGATCGCAAGCTAGAGTCACAGCTCTGCCTGTGCACCAACACAGGGTTGCCACTGTGATTTTGTCATCGCCTCGGTTTTGAGGCAGCTGTAACTCCAATCTGAAGACATTATTGTTGAGAGAGTGACCCTAGTTTAAAAAGCACAAATAAAAGTTAATTTTAGGAACACTTGTTACCTGCTTTTAGTGACTTACTTTATGTATCCACATGACAAGCAAAGACTCAAAACTGTTTACGCCACACAGTCTGTTTTGAAACCAATCCAACTCAAACCAGACTTGAGCTGAGCCTTATTAGTCAAAGTGTATCAGAGTTCAGGACTCCTTTCAGTCTGAAAACTCTTAGGAAAGTCCCTGTCAGGAGAGACGAGAAAAGCTAAGGGTGTGTCATTTCAAAAGTTCTTTTGAGTTTTCATTGGCTTGATGTTAAGGTCATGTGGCCACAATATAACCACCAGATTCAGCAGGAATATTGAGGCCCTCGTTCTTTTTTGCACACACAACAAAGTCTTGAATATTTAAGAGCCTGATTTCAGAACTGACCAAAGTCTCCCAAAAAGTAGTATATCAAACAATATTTTTAGTGGGTCAGTACTAAATGTTGTAGTTTTAGCATTATATAAATCAAATAGAAATTATTAGAAATGCTGACTTTCATGTAGCTAAATTGCAACACACGTATAAAGCAATTTAAAACATTTATTTTAGTAAATATGAGTAAAAACTACTTATTTAACACTCTGAACTATCACAGCAACTACTTTGGCTGGAAATATATATATATATATATATATATATATATATATATATAATA